TATATCTTTGTTTACATGTGTGTATGTGTATGTATATATATATATATATATATATGCATACATATGCACATACATACATATAAAAGTAACAATAGACGGATACATATCTTTTCTTTGCAAAATTGTTTAATTCAGGTTTCTCTAAGAACTGTCCTTTCTGTAAGAGAATATGGACTCTTCATTAATTATTTGGTCTCTTCGTTTAAAGCTATAATTATCAATGTTGGAGGTAATTGAATCTTTCGCATTTCAATTTCTTCGCACGTACGCGCGTGTACATGTATTTGTATATATGAAGCTCATGCTTTGATCCATTTTTTTGCAACCAGTAATATATCAGAGCGCTTATATTCTTAAATTCTTTAAATAATGGTAGACATTTAATATCAGGATTATTGTATTTCGAAATATTATTTAAATAATGATTTTGAAAGGTATTTTTTTCAAATAATTTAATAATTTTCAATCAATTCTTTTGTTTCTTTCATATTTTAAATTTGTTAAAAGAAAGAAACTGCCTAGAACTTGCAAGTTACCACTTTTTTTTTTAATTTTATCAAGTGTTGTAAAGTTATGATATTTATTGTATAAATATTTGACAACTGGTTTTCAGAAAATTTCTAATCGGTTAATTTTACTTCAAAAGTTAATCATTTTATCGTTCAAAAGAAGTATGATTTTATGTTTTTGTAAAGCATATAAATGTAAAGATTAGTATCTCTTAGACAGAGAGAGCGGGGGGGGGGGGAAGAGAGAAAGAGAAGTAAATATTACGAGCAATAACAATAAAAATTTACAAAAAGAAAAACAGATGTTAATTAAATCAAATAAGACATAAATGGATCTTAGCATAGACTTCTCTGATAAATATCTTTTCTTAAAAATAATGTTCTGGTGATATTGAAAGCATTGCGCCATTGCCCCTTTGTCGATTAATGTGTAATATGCGAAGTATTTTAAGTAAATACACGTAATTACGTATGCATATATGTACATATGCATATATATTTGAGTACATAGGTAAGTCTTAGGCGGTTGTCAGCCGCTGGTTCCAAGTCTCCATGATTATTCAACACATTCGATGCATCTCGATACCCAAATTTCGACTGAGAGATTACCAAGTATTAGATAACTAATCCATCACTTATTGTGCAACGCAAGAAAATTATCATTATTTTTCATTCTTATAAATATAAAAGAATTATTATATGTTTAAAAAAAATTAACTTTTTCTGCGCTAACAAGATTCATTCCTTTGATCTTTCGAGCGGAACGGATTATGCAAATTTCTTCATTCGTATACACACAATGTAAAATTAATCTTCCAATAATATACCCTTTACTCCGCGTTCACCTTTGCTCGAAAATTGTATAATGTAATTTTTAGAATAACAATTAAATTTGAATAACAATTATTCGCTCTGCGTCAGCGGACGTTCAACCGGAAGTTATATATGTCGTGTAAGAAGATTTTAAATTC